GTAAGTTTATAAAAGTGTTTATAAAAGTTTATTAATGTGTTTATAAAAGTTTATTAATGTTTTTATAAAAGTTTGTAAGTTTATAAACGTGTTTATAAAAGTTTATTAATGTGTTTATAAAAGTTTGTAAGTTTATAAACGTGTTTATAAAAGTTTGTAAGTTTATAAACGTGTTTATAAAAGTTTATTAATGTGTTTATAAAAGTTTGTAAGTTTATAAATGTGTTTATAAAAGTTTATTAATGTGTTTATAAAAGTTTGTCAGTTTATAAACGTGTTTATAAAAGTTATTAATTTTATAAGACTGTAAGTTTAATCTTTATGACTCAATTCATGCTGAATGTCACTATAAGAGATGAAGTCAGGTCCAGGTACCGGTCTTTGGGTCCAGGATCTCTGGGGAGAGGTGTGCCGGTGGCGTTCCTGGGGAGAAGTGTTCATTGCTGTAGGTGATGAGGGGCGTCAGCGGGTGGACATGGTGGGCGTGTTGAACTACGGGAACTTTATTGGACTGTTGGTGACAGACAAACGAAGAGATGTTAGTGAGGAGGACACACACCGATATTTCACTGAACCTGACAAACAAGGGTGTGTGTGTGTGTGTGTGTGTGTGTGTGTGTGTGTGTGTGTGTGTGTGTGTGTGTGTGTGTATTTTGGGTCTCTGCTGGTAAAGATCAGGCAGCAAAACCTACAGAGGAAACATCGACACCGAACCGGAAGAAACCTGGACCAAACAACAACAACACCACACAGACACCACACAGACGCCGCACAGACGCCGACGGACGCCGACAGACGCCGCACAGACGCCGGCCACGACACCAGCTGATCAACAAGAAGACTGCATCTTCAGGAAAAAAACAACTACGAAAACACATGAGACTACAACAAACACTGCAACTACATCAGTAAAAAACTACAAAAACAACAACAACTACTGCGACGACAGAGTACTGCGGACGATTGTACAGAACTGTGAATCATGTAGACTGTAGAACTCTAAAACTAAAGATTTATTAAACTGTAAAACTATGATAAACTATAAAACTTTAATCTATAAATCTGTCAAAATATTTGTCTGTAAAACTTAAAAACTCTTAAGTTTTAAATCCGTGAAGTTATAAACGGTGAAACTTTAACTATAAAACTTTTGAACTAAAACAATTTTAAACTTTAAAACTATAAAAATCTTAAAATGCCTGAAATGTAAATTCTGTCAAAGGTGATGAAGACAATCGCAGGAATTTCAGCCTCTCTCCATTTTCACTCGCTCACTCACTCACTCGCTCACTCACTCACTCACTCGCTCGCTCACTCGCCCTGGCGGTCTCTCCTGGTTGAATGGTGCGCTTGTTGGCTCGACTTGTCACATGGGAGGGTCTATGGGTGGGGAGACGGGGGAGACGGGGGAAGTGGGGCAGAAAGGAGTCTTGTTCCTCTGGCCTAACCTTTCTTCAGTATCCTTCCCTCCTCCCCCTTCCTCACCCTCTGGTCTCCCTCCATGTGGTCGACTGGGGAACAGACTCTGCATTCACACGTCTGCTCTCTCTCTCTCTCCCTCTCTCTTTCTTTCTCTCTCTCCCTCTCTCTCTCTCTCTCTCCCTCTCTCTTTCTTTCTCTCTCTCCCTCTCTCTCTCTCTCTCTCTCTCCCTCTCTCTCTCTCTCCCCCTCTCCCTCTCTCCCTCTGAATTGTTCCAGATCTTTATTTTTCACGCTCACTTCGACCTTTTCCTCTTTTGTCTTTTTTATGAACGTGTTTCTCCGGATCTTTGATCGTCTGACTCAGCGAGGAGGAAAATATTGACGGCTGTTAAACTCGGTTAAATAAAGATCACTTTGCTTTTCTAGCTCCTCCAGACTGCGAGCGTTTGAGGTCAAAGCGTGTGAAGATGAGCGCTCCTGAACACAGCGGCCTTTGACAGAGCAGACACACGCTCTCGAACCTCCCTCGTGTCGTGGAGCTTTGAGCCGAGCTTCGTTGTTTCACGCTGCAGTTTTCCTGCATTGTGCTTTGGGCTCCAGACCTCCCGACCTGAGTGCCAGCACATTTTGGGAAGCACTTCAGTGAGAATTAGAAATGATGCCTTTTAATTATTCATATCCTGGAATTCACCATCGAGCTCTCCAAACAGATTTCTAAGTTTGAAGCTCTGGTTTCATCTCCAACTGTGAAGAGAAACCGGGTCTGAAAGTGACCGTCTGTCGGCGACAAAGACGGCGGATTCATCCCGCTGATTCTCCTGTTCTGAAAACATTTGTGACTTTAAAACTTTTTTGTCATTTTTGGACTTTTTTGGAGTTTTCTGCAGCTCTGAACGCAGAACATGTGGTTCTGACTTTAGACTAACACACCCCCAGGTATCAATGCTCTCTTTCACACGCCGTCCTGTGTGTGTGTGTGTGTGTGTGTGTGTGTGTGTGTGTGTGTGTGGGGGGGTCCTATTCCTGAGGCCCATGACGGCTCCATACGTCTGCTTTTCATGGCTGTAATAAGGAAACCAGCAGGAACATGAGCCGGGTTTTAAATATAAACACTTCGACCTGATTGGACGATATAGAGACACCTGGAACCAGATGGTTCCTCCATCCAAACACACACACACACACACACACACACACACACACAGACATCATGGTTCCTGTTACCCTTCCAGAACATTCAGGTCCAACATGGTACCTGGAGTCCATGTCTGTGACGTCCATGGGGGGGGGACATTTGGACAACTTTAACTTCACTCTCACTTTGAATGGACGGACATACATGAGGATGATCGGGTGATTACGGATCAATAGGTGAGAAGATATGAAGTAAATGATCATATGTCTGTAATTATGGTCATATTTTGTTTAGAAGTGAATAAACACTTAAAAATGATTCGTACATTTATTCTCTGATTCTATGAGCCCGTTTATAAAATCTACATTAACTAATAAATTCAGTCGAGGACGAGAGCGGCGAGTTTTTCTGCTGCGATAGACTCAGCTGTTTAGAACGAAAAAAACGATTGATCGATTGATTGGTGCTCTCTTCATCCACAGACAGAAATCTTGCTCTTCTAATACAGGGGCCTGTTAATAACATGTCTGAAGAGGAGGTGGGAGGAGGAGGGAGGAGAAGGGAGGAGGAGGGAGGAGGAGGAGGGTTTAGAGAGGAGGGAAACAGGAGTGTTGAGGAGAGAAGCTGAGCGTCTCTTCAGGTAGTTTCTGAGAGGTGGCAGCACCTCGCCTGGCTGACCAACTTGGAGCGGCGCTAAGAAAAGCCGAGTTCCTGGTCAGGGTGGGTGGAGGGTGGAGGGTGGAGGGTGGGTTTCATTCAAGCAAACATGTTTTTGGATCCTGCACATCTGAGTTGAATTACTAAGCAAACAGCCGATGGGGAAGAGAGCGCTGAACAAACTGAATAACCCTTCACTTCAGCAGCAGCAGCTTTGTGAGTCTTTGTGTGTCTTTGTGGAGATGGCGGCACAGAGGTCGTTTTCTAACCTCCAGGAAAGACGAGAAGAATTCCAGGCATGTTTGTCACCGCCAACAGGAAACGGACATGTGAAGGAGGAACGGACCGTGTCGTATGTCTTTAAAATCAATAAGTCATTCATCACAGACGGCGTGTTCTTCATGTCAATAATAATCTAGATTAAAATAATCCAGACTGTTCTTCATGTCAATAATAATCTAGATTAAAATAATCCAGACTGTTCTTTGTCAATAATAATCTAGATTAAAATAATCCAGACTGTTCTTTATGTCAATAATAATCTAGATTAAAATGATCCAGACTGTTCTTTATGTCAATAATAATCTAGATTAAAATAATCCAGACTGTTCTTTATGTCAATAATAATCTAGATTAAAATAATCCAGACTGTTCTTCATGTCAATAATAATCTAGATTAAAATAATCCAGACTGTTCTTCATGTCAATAATAGTCTAGATTAAAATAATCCAGACTGTTCTTTATGTCAATAATAATCTAGATTAAAATAATCCAGACTGTTCTTCATGTCAATAATAATCTAGATTAAAATAATCCAGACTGTTCTTTATGTCAATAATGATCTAGATTAAAATAATCCAGACTGTTCTTCATGTCAATAATAATCTAGATTAAAATAATCCAGACTGTTCTTTATGTCAATAATAATCTAGATTAAAATAATCCAGACTGTTCTTCATGTCAATAATGATCTAGATTAAAATAATCCAGACTGTTCTTCATGTCAATAATAATCTAGATTAAAATAATCCAGACTGTTCTTTATGTCAATAATAATCTAGATTAAAATAATCCAGACTGTTCTTCATGTCAATAATAATCTAGATTAAAATAATCCAGACTGTTCTTCATGTCAATAATAATCTAGATTAAAATAATCCAGACTGTTCTTTATGTCAATAATAATCTAGATTAAAATAATCCAGACTGTTCTTCATGTCAATAATAATCTAGAATAAAATAATCCAGACTGTTCTTTATGTCAATAATGATCTAGATTAAAATAATCCAGACTGTTCTTCATGTCAATAATAATCTAGATTAAAATAATCCAGACTGTTCTTTATGTCAATAATGATCTAGATTAAAATAATCCAGACTGTTCTTTATGTCAATAATAATCTAGATTAAAATGATCCAGAATGTGTCAGGTCAAAACCAGAATCTGTGGTCCTAAACATGAACGCATCTCTGATGGACCCACAGATCAATATAATCAATATAATCAATATCTCATCAGAAACATCTCTGGATTTTGTTTCGGTAATTTCACTCTCTGCTGCGACTCGACACCTCAGAGTTCCTGACAGAGGACTTCCTCCCTGAAGACCTGCAGACCATCAGACCACCAGAGGAGAAACTCTGAGCAGACCTGAAGACTGACCTTCAAAAAAACTTCTTCAACAGCAGAAAATTCACAAGAACCACAAAAAAGACCAGGAACCTCCAGGTCCAAAATCCTCTAAACACAAAAACAGAAAGAGACGAGTCCTGAAGGTCAAAGATGGACCATCATCTGAAGAACCGACTTTCAGGCGACTTTACCTCCTTAAAGACAAGAGACAGAGGACAAAAACAGCTGATCTGTGTTTACAGTGTGAGGACAAAAACAGCTGATCTGTGTTTACAGTGTGAGGACAAAAACAGCTGATCTGTGTTTACAGTGTGAGGACAGAAACAGCTGATCTACACTACAGGCCAAAAGTTTGGAAACAAGTTCAGATTAGTCCAAACAAAGATCATAGTTTCATAAATATAATTTTCAACACAGTAACCATGACTATTCTGTAAAGAGTAACTGATCTGAAGACATTCTGACTCTAATTCTGAGGTATTTGAGTTTTTGTTGTTAGACTTTCTTTAAAGTTACCTCCTCTGGCTTTAACAACAGCTCGGCATATACCAGGCATTCGTTCACCAAGTTTTCTAAGGTCTGTTCCAGGGATTACATTCAAGCTTTCTGAAGTTCATTAAAAAGAGACGCTGATTCGAGGGACGAGTTTTTCTGACCGATTGATCCGATTCATCCACACAAGCTCAACTGGAGAAAGGTCTGGAGACTGAGGGGTCCAAACCATCTTTTGAAGAACACCTTCCTCTTCTCTTTTGTCTCGGTAACCCTGACAGAGCTCGGCAGAGAGCTTAGGGTCATTGTCTTACTGCAAAACAAACTTCTGAGCCACAAGTCTGAGTCCAGATGGAACAGCATGGTGCTGGAGGATGGAGTGGTACTGTTCCTTCTTCATGATTTACTTCAAACTAATCTCCTCCTCCATCACCTGATAAACATCCCCATACCATGAACTACCACCTCCATGCTGAATTGTGGGTGTAACACATGGAGCTTTCAGACGTTCACCAGTTTGTCTGCAGACATAGACTCTGAGTTTTGAACCAAACAGTTCAAACTTGTTTCTATCATCATTAGTCCAGTTTTTGTGAGTTTTTACCCACTCATGTCTCTTTTTCTTCCTCTGTGGATGAAGTCGTGTTTTTTTGAAGATACACAGCCCCTTCTTTTAGGTGTTTTTCTCTTTCTGTGTTTCCTTCTTTCCTCAATGTACAAATCTGTACTTTCTGTCCATTTCTGCGGTAGTTTGAACTCATAGATTTATTAGGATTTTTGTCTGCAGATTCTCAAAAGACAAAAAGTTGAAGTGAATAATCCAACTGGGATTTGTTGTTTTTGCTTTTGCACTGAAGTTGTGACTCTTGAAAATGTTTCCAACCCTAAAACTAAGCCCTTATTATCTTTAGCTGACATATATTTAGCAATGGTCTGTTAACATCGATGTATATCTAAAGGTAAATGGAGTAAAATGGTGAATTTCCATGAAAACAACAAAAAACATCAAACTCATGCTGGAGTTAAAAAAAGACTTCCAAACTTTTGACCTGTAGTGTGTGTTTACAGTGTGAGGACAAAATCAGCTGATCTCCTCTCCTCACCTCTTTCCTCCTCTCCTCTCTCCTCCTTCCTCCTTTCCTCTCTCCTTTCTCTCCTCTCTTCTTCTTCTTTCCTCTCCTCTCCTCTCTTCTGATTGGCTGACAGGTGTGCTATCTCACCTGCGGCTCTTTGATGTTTAATTCATGAGGACTCAGACCTCGGAGACACTCGTGTGTGTGTGTGTGTGTGTGTGTGTGTGTGTGTGTGTGTGTGTGTGTGTATTATCCTCCCAGTGTTCCCAGCAGCTCTGACCAGTGCAGCTCAGTGTTCTGAATGTTAAACTAACTGTTCAATAATTAAAGGCTCATTAGAATACGGGCCGTTTGGACCTGGACTGGACTCTCCACAACATGAGGACTGGTTCTACTGACTGAGATCTGAGACCAGCAAACGGGTCAGAGTCCAAACTGAGAGAGAGAGAGAGAGAGAGAGAGAGAGAGAGAGAGAGAGAGAGAGAGAGAGACCATCACAAGAACAGCTTCAAATCTCTCTCTCTCTCTCTCTCTCTCTCTCTCTCTCTCTCTCTCTCTCTCTCTGGGGGTGAGGCAGATTTCACAGTAACCCTCTGACAGGTCAGCAGCTTCCTGTTTTAGTTTTTACTCAAAGAGCCGTCCACACACACACACACACACACACACACACACACACACCACACACACACACACACGTTTCTGGTTCAGAATCAAATCCACATAAAACAGAAACGACCACAGAAGAAGAGAATCAGACGGTCATCAGTGACCTCACGGCGTTCTTTCACTTCCCTAAAATTTAACCGAACGCTGCTCTGCTGCGACCCTTTCTCTCTCTCTCTCTCCCTCTCTCCCTCTCTCTCTCTCTCTCTCTCTCTCTCTCTCTCCCTCTCTCTCCCTCTCTCTCACTCAGAGGGTGTTTTTGTGTGGGGGCGGGGTCACTCAGAGGTCGGCGTTTCTCCTAATAAAATCTCTCGGCTCTGATTCTCATGAACAAACTCAGACTCTGAACAACGAGGTTCCTTTGACTGAACTGTCATGTGATCCTTGCGATTATGCGATCCGGCCAATCAGACACGCGCTCACTGAGCTCGTCTCGCCGGGATATCTGAGGTCAAACAGCTGAGCGTCATGACATCATCAGACAGGTGAGACACCTGAGCACCTCTGCAAACTCAGCAAAACACTCAAACCACACAGGTGTGCAGGGACGCCCTGATGATGGCGGGGAAGACGCCACACCTGTGAGGGAACGCTCCGGAGCGAGCAGCAGGTCCAGAGACCAGGAACATTCACAGACACACGGCGCTCAGTGGCTCAGCCTGCGGCGCTGACGGGAACCACGGCGTTCAAAAACACACAGTGACTTCATTATTGGGAAAACCACATTATGGTCATTAATGCAGTAATCTGATTGGTTAGATAATTCAGTGAATGTCTGGTGGGAGGAAACCCTTGGGGAAACGTCTTATTAGTGCCTCATAACAAAAGGGGGGTGGGGGGCTGGGCAGGGAGAGGAGGCGGAGCCCCAGCAGCTCTGAGTCATGAACCAACAACACCAACCAACAACAACGACCAACAACACCGACCAACAACACCAACAACACTGACCAACAACACCAACAACACCAACAACACTGACCAACAACCCCAACAACACCAACAACACCAACAACACCAACAACAACACCAACAACACTGACCAACAACACCAACAACACCGACCAACAACACTGACCAACAACACCAACAACACCGACCAACAACACCAACAACACCAACAACACTGACCAACAACACCAACAACACTGACCAACAACACCAACAACACCTACCAACAACACTGACCAACAACAACACCAACAACACCAACCAACAACACCAACAACACCAACAACAACACCAACAACACCAACAACAACACCAACAACACCAACAACAACACTGACGAACAACAACACCAACCAACAACAACACTGACCAAAAACACCAACAACACCAACAACACCTACCAACAACACCAACAACACCAACCAACAAGACCAACAACATCGATCAACAACACCAACAACACTGACCAACAACACCAACAACACCAAAAAGACTGACCAACAACACCGACCAACAACACCAACAACACTGACCAACAACACTGACCAACAACACCTACCAACAACACTAACAACACCGACCAACAACACCAACAACACTGACCAACAACACTGACCAACAACACCAACAACACCGACCAACAACACCAACAACACTGACCAACAACACTGACCAACAACACCAACCAACAACACCGACCAACAACACCAACAACACTGACCAACAACACCAACAACACCAACAACACTGACAAACAATACCGACCAACAACACCAACAACACTGACCAACAACACTGACCAACAACACCAACAACACTGACCAACAACACTGACCAACAACAACACCAACAACACAGACCAACAACAACACCAACAACACCGACCAACAACACCAACCAACAACAACACCAACAACACCGACCAACAACACTGACCAACAACACCAACAACACCGACCAACAACACCGACCAACAACACCAACAACACTGACCAACAACACCAACAACACTGACCAACAACACCAACAACACCTACCAACAACACTGACCAACAACACCAACCAACAACACCAACAACAACACCAACAACACATACAACAACACCAACAACACCAACAACAACACTGACGAACAACAACACCAACCAACAACAACACTGACCAAAAACACCAACAACACCAACAACACCTACCAACAACACCAACAACACCAACCAACAACACCAACAACATCGATCAACAACACCAACAACACTGACCAACAACACCAAAAAGACTGACCAACAACACCGACCAACAACACCAACATCACTGACCAACATCACCTACCAACAACACTAACAACCCCAACAACAACACCGACCAACAACACCAACAACACTGACCAACAACACTGACCAACAACACCAACCAACAACACCGACCAACAACACCAACAACACTGACCAACAACACCAACAACACCAACAACACTGACAAACAACACCGACCAACAACACCAACAACACTGACCAACAACACTGACCAACAACACCAACAACACTGACCAACAACAACACCAACAACACAGACCAACAACACCACCAACAACACCGACCAACAACACCAACAACACCACCAACAACAACACCGACCAACAACACCAACAACACCGACCAACAACACCAACAACAACAACAACGACCAACAACACCGACCAACAACACCAACAACACTGACCAACAACACCAACAACAACACCAACAACACCAACAACAACACCAAGCAACAACAACAACACCACAACACCAACCAACAACACCAACAACAACACCACAACAACAACGACCAACAACACCGACCAACAACACCAACCAACAACACCAACCAACAACATCAACAACACCAACCAACAACAACGACCAACAACACCGACCAACAACACCGACCAACAACATCAACCAACAACGACCAACAACACCAACAACACTGGCCAA